TCTGTAGACAGACAGGTAAAAGCATGAAAAGATCACATGACCCCCTAACTGAGATAACTACTCAACACAACCACTCACTAAAGGCTGATTATCATCCAAGGGCTGGATCTAAATCTCTCTCACACGTTGTCAACATATACACAAATGTTTTGGACACAGGTGGTTTGATGACAAGTTAGGAACATATAAAGGTGATTAACAACTATTTTCCAAAGAGACAAAATAAAATTGCTTACACTAATACAACAATTATTAAAAGAAGTGGGATCTAATCTCACCGACAATTTTAATGACAAAGGTGTTGGGAATTATGTACGGACTATTTGAAATATTTAAGATGGTATTGCAGTTGGTGATTAACAGAAGAAGCAAAAACGTTTGTCCAGTTTTCTTTACATAGCTGAACGAAAGACTCCAAACGGCAACAGAACTTCCATAAAACACTGAGCTGAACATCCCTCATTCATCATTATATATTGTTTACAAGCAGTAAAGAGAGACCAATGAAATGGAGAGGGTGGAGTGGAAGAGAAGGAACAGAGAAGGAGATAGGTTGTTATAGTTTTACTGAGATAAAGTTTGAAGACAAGGAATTACAATGTAAACAAAAAAGTATACTGTGCATAGAAAAGGACAGACAAAGAATGACAGTGTCTACAGCTGAAGAACTCACCAAAATGGCTCTGAAGACGGTGGAGCTGATGCCATCGGCCACCTCAAACTCTCCTTTCTCATTGGGTCGTGTGAAGTTGTTGTCCCGCCCAGAACCAAACATCCTGAAAACAAACAAGTAATAAATAAATCAGGATTCCATCAACTTCAAAGAAGCCAAAGAACAGCTGAGTAGAGCAGTGATCAGTTTATGTTGCTGGAGTTTTACCCTCTCATCGCAGAATTAAAGAATTCCAAGACATTGAAGTTTTTGCATCAACTTCTTTCTATCTGAATGCATGTACAAATCAAAACTGCTTCCTGCTTAGCCATCATAAAAGCAATGTATTGTTTTATTAAAGTGTGTCACAACCCCATGCTGTGACAAAAACTTTACACAAGCTAACACCTTGTCATTGGTGAGAGAACTGGTGTGAGCAATCAGGTGACATTCATAAGGGCAACTGTTATGCTCTTGGAAATGACAGGAGAAAAGAGGAGGATGGGGTCTTTGTTTCAGCACCACTACAGGTACAGTTTTTAGGAGGTGGGAATGGAACTTGGAAAATAACTGAAAGGAGCAAAAACTAAATAAAATGTTCTGTTTGACTCAATAGTGACTGTTTATCCCTTTATGCAGCAGATCCTTTAATGCATGTCCTGATCCTTGGACATTAAAGTTATTGTGTTTCCCTGAATGAATTCTCTTTTTGTCCTCACCTGCCGAGCATGGTGTTTGGTTGAGCGGTGAAGATGGCAGGATCCACCACAAATCTGGTGTTATCCACGATGAGAGTGACTCTCTCTGCCAGCCTCAGAACACTGCGATGCCCCTCCTTACTGCTGAGGTCATACACGTAGATCATATCGCAGGGCCCCGCGCCCAGTGCCTTAATGACCCTAGGTATGTCCCCCCCCATCAGGGCCCCTCCAATGTGGGAATAAGGAACAGAACTCCTGGGGGGGCGAGGACTGGAAGATCTGGAGGACGAGCCTCCGTCGCCACGTTCACGGTCTGTGGGAAACAGGAGGACACATGAACAAATGAACACACACACACACACACACAAACACACGTCAATTTGCACAATTAGCATAAGTTGCGTTAATTAGCATTAAACACCATTATAGCTTATCTTGAAAATAGTTACATGACTTTGCAGATTTGGAAGATGTTGGAGTGGTTCTGGGGGTTATTGAGGATGCTGAATGCATTTCTGACATTTGTATGATCAACAATGGCAATTAAAACCAGAAAGTGGCCATATTTGTTATCTTGTTGGCTGATTTTTTTTGAACATTTTGGGTCGATTTGGAAGTTTTATGGGAATCTCGCTTAATAGGATTGGACAGATTACTCATCTTTGTTGGAGAAGCCTGTGACTTAAGATTTTCATCGACATAACTACTCTGTAGCTATGTTCGTATGACAAATAAAGAACCTTGAACCTTTAAAAATAAATTGTCAGCAGTAGAGGTAATCATTTTCATCTTGTGCTCTCTATATGCAATGGTCGCAACATTACTCACGGTAGTTAAAATCAGCCCATCAGGAGTGCAAATATGGCCACTCTGGTTAAAACTGCCATTTTGTATCCTTAAAATGTCAGAAATTGATTCAGTATCCTCAATAACCACCAACAAAACTCAAAAACTCTCCAAATCGGCCAAACCTTTTTTAACTATTGTTTCCATAGGCTACAATGCTAATAAATGCTAATTACCATAACTTATGCTCATTGTGCAATTTGCCCATGCAGGTTAGCATCCAGCAGTTTATATGTGCTGGGGACCCTACTATACATTTCTAACATAAAGCTTTGGGGTTCTAAACATTTCCGGGTTCACGCTGCTGGCAACTACACTACAAGATAAGGATCCTCCTTCTTCCTCCTCACCGTGCTGCCGAGTGGGGGAGGTGAGGTTCCTGATGCAGGGCGTCAGCTGGCTCTCCCCTCTCTCGTGGGAGGAGTCCCGTGAGCGGTCACTGGACCGCCGCTGCTGCTCTCTGTGATGATCTGCTCCTCCTCTTTCTCTCGCCCCGCCCACAGCCCCCCCGACGGCCCAGCCGCTGGCCCCGGCCCGGTAGAGGCTCATGGTGCCGACCTGCTGCTGGTGGTCGCAGTCCAACACTGACAAACCACACTGCCGCTCACTGAGGGGAGGGGAGAGCACAGTTACGAGCATGACTCATTTCAGCTCAGCACTTTATGATGATATGGAGAATATTTGGTTTAAAATTGGACATCAAAGAGATTTCATGAAGCAAGAATGTCATTTTATCTGACTTTGAGTTTTTGTAAGATGACCCAGACGAACATGAGCACCAATAAACCGTATTTATGACTTTTTTGAAACTATTATAAAATACAGACTACATTGCCGAATCCAAATCTTTTTTGTTCTAAATGGTTTGGACGCTATCATTCTTTTTGCAAACTTAATAAGCCTCTCAATTTCATGTTTTTTGTCGACTTGTTCTTCCTGCAACCAAAATCTTATAATAATAAATGGTTCAAAATAACCATATCTTTTTTTATTGCACTTCATTATTTTTCTTATTTCATTTTCAAAACACTAGGGAAAAAGCATTACCTATCTGAGGTATTATTTTAAAAAAGAAAGGAAAAAGGATCTGAAACAAAACAAAACAGTGAACAAATAGCTGATCATCATATACCAAGAGCTCTTCCTTATCTGGATTTGACCACGTCACTCTCCTCCTGCATGTCTGCTCAGATAAGGTGACCCTGTGATGCAGCCATGACCAGATCAGTGGAGAATGAAGAGCCCGCTTTAGAAACTGATGCATAGATTCTCTGGTGGAAACATTTCCACAGTTGCATGGGATGTAGGCCTACTGTCATATTGCCCAACCCTAATGCAGTCGAATGTTGAAAATACATTTACCGCTGCTGCTGATGAAGATGGGGGTGGGGGGGAGAAGGCATTAGTTTCAAAACTAGAAAAAGTCTTCCGTTCGCACGGATACGGCTCAATAAACGTGTCCCTTCACACGAGACCGCTCGACCCGCTGGAGCTGCTGTAGTACATATGCCGGGCCTGTAAGTGGCGCTGTACTTGTGTCACAAAATACACCAAAAGCAGCGAAGAAGATCCCCGAGCATTGTTGCCCTTCTGTTTATTCTCCGCGGTGGATTTAGCAACATGTAGTTCATGTAGTTCTCCATGTCCACTTGTTGCTGCTACAGCAGTGAGCAGCAGAGGTGGGGAGAGGCGGGGCTATGGCTTCATCGTTATCAGGAAATGATCGTATAGGACGTACACACAGACGTACACACAGAGCCGTTTGCCCCCCCAGAGCGTTCCGTTTGCAGATCTATCCACCTTGGGACCCGTTATTGTTTTAGGGATCCGTTTCCGCGGTTCCGTTACGGCCTTGTGTGGACGAACGGGCTATACGAAAGAGAAAAGTAGCAGATACAAACCGTTTCGTTCCCGTGTAAACAGCACCTGAGTAAACTCTATGCACAGATTTGACCCTCCGTAGACACACTCATTCAAGGATCCAACGATTTATCATCATCATCATTATGCAATACAGGATTGCACAATGAAATGCAGTAAGCCTCACACTCACACAGTTGTGATGGCTCAGGGGAAAAGGGTTTGTTTTTAGACTTGTGAGATGTGGACCGCAGTAAAAAGTCTGCATTAAGACCTCACAGGAGCAGAGTGCTGCAGAAACAAGGACCACACAAAAACACTAACCTCTGCCTGCAGCTACACACACCACCCCAACATCCATTAGAGTGTGTATCCATATGAAACAATCCTGAGTATGCGGAACTCACTAAGGTACAGGACAACACACAGAAATGTCCTCCTGTGTTTAATCCCTCCACAGGCGGCTGTTTCACTGATTCTTGACTGAGGTTTAATAATCACTCCGCCTCGTCTCAAAGCAAGTGATGCTTCCTGCAGTGTTCACTGTAGTTTAGACAAGCAGCCTGAGAGAGCTCTTAGTATGTGTCCATTCCAGACAGGACTTAAACAAACACTCAGCAGCATGCATTTATGCTCAGGATCAATGACCAGTCAAAGTTAAAAAATGACGATATGTCCTTTTCCATTTAAAAAAAAAATGTGATTTAATAATGCAAAGGTTAACAACCACAGTGTGTAATGCTATTGACTTCGAAAGTCACATATTGCAGTTCAAAATGGACAAGTGAAAATATGCACATTAAAAAGTCAACTAAATATATGACGACTCAAGATCATTGCTGGTGTGTGTTGTGTGTGTTTTTGCACAAGTATTGCTGTTAAAGCATTGGTTATGTACTGGAGTGGTGAATGGCACAATTGGCCAGAAAATATCAACCAACATCAGCAGTTGGTCACACCTGAGGTGAGTGTATCAGTGTATTTAGTTAAGTATTTAGATGGACATCACAGCTGTATTAATATATATTTATCCACAGTGCTCATGTTAGTAGTGGAACCCTTATTAACAACACCTCAACAGTGGGCTTTAGAAAAAAGATCCCAGACAACAAATACCAACGATTTCGCTAGATTATTGATCTAAGAGGAAGGTGAAGGGTGATACAAAACCATTTCTAACGTAAATATGTTCCTGCTTTATTATGACAAATGACATACATGGAATTGTATTACTAAATGCATTAATTGAACTTTCACTGTGACAGTGTAGCTTTCTGCCCAATAGATTGAGTTTTTAGGCCCGAGACACATCCTGGTCTCAGTAATGAAGAGAGAGGAGCTCTTCTGAGAGGAGCTGTTATGAAATATGATGATGATCATGTCATGTAGGCTGTGGAACAAGAGAGATGGGAAATGGGGGCAAGGAGTACTGGAAGGACAGAGAGGTTTATTTTTTTAATTTTATTTTTTTAATGGAGTTAGTGATGTAAAAAAGCAGATTTCTTCAAAAATAAAGCACTTTTCACAAAGCCCTGACTTCACAGAGACAGATGAGGCATAGAGGTTTTTATTATCATTTAAACAAACGATCAATCAAGCATGTATCGGTTCTGAAAGCAGGGGATTGATAACTGAATATGAATGTATGTTTTGTTTCTATGCACCTTGCCCATTTAATACGCTGAGAAGTCTGTGGGCCACTAGGAGACATCTGAATGTGCAGAACAGAGGACTGATGGGGGGGGGGGGGGGGAGCTGATTGGATGTGTAGACCCAGACAGAGTAGACCAAGGAGTAGCAGGACCAGTGGAATGACAGTGAATGATCAACAATGCACATTGTGATGACTGCACATTACCTTCAATCCCCACCAACGCCTGGGATACACTCAACGTAGCACATGAACCTGTTTGAAGGCGACCATATGCATATAGTGTGTTCTATAGGTTTCTGTGCATGTAAATGGTCTGCAAAGGCTAACATCCCTGTGTTCCCTCCAGAGGGATTTTCTCTCCCACACTTACATTAATCTTTCAATATACCTCAAGGTTAACATTTTCAGAAATCAAAGAGTAAAATAAGATGATGTTTTTTTTTTACAACATGACAGCTTCACAGCTGCAGACTGACAATGTCATTGAAAATAATCAAGGGTTCATAGGGAGGTATACATCAGTAGACCTTACTTAGAGAATATCAATTATACAACATTAATGACAAACAATTAAGTATCCTTTTGCAAACAGCCACAGTTAAGTGATCTGGCTAGGAGATGACTGATTAGTATGCTGTGTTTAATCTCAAATGGGATTTGAATGCTTAGCAGAAATGGGGTATTAAAAACAAGTGTGTCTTGCCGCCAAACAGGCAGGCAGCCAGTGTCCAGAGCAGGCACGGGAAACAAAGGAGGCAACATTTCACTCAGGGCAGCAGCACTCTCATCTTTCACATGGCGATGCAAATCTCCAGCAGCCGAGATTTCACACAGCCACTAAGAACTAGATGGGGGCTAATATTTCACTTGTCCAATTTCCTGTTACCAGGCAAGAGGCACCACCCCACTGATTTCACTATTTCCTTTTTCTTTTCCTGAATACGTTCAAATGGTGCTCGCAAGTGTGCGGTGTTAAATACAAGTCAAGTTAACAAACACATCTAAGTCACAATAATTAAGATAAAGATGGATGCTGCCTAGCAGTCTATTAAAAGCACGAGGTAAGAGCCCCGAGGGGTGAGGGTCCCATCTATTATTTAGGGGCTGCTGCTGACATCGACACAAGGGCAGAAGGGCTGCTCTCAGCAGTCTGGGATGAAATCCATTACAAGGAGGCTGAACATTGGATATTAACAGGGAAAGGATTCGAACATCCCCCTTAAGACACTAATATGAGATCCATCCTTTGGAATAGAAAACGTTTATGGCAATTTCTCCTTACATGGAACATAAAAGACTGCCATTAAAAATCATATGACTCTCTAATGAGTACCAGAGTGTCCCATCAAGGGTAAGACAATGATTTTCTTTCTAGGTCACTATTATAATGACAGTAAATCACACAAAGAGAGAAAAGCCGGGTACTGGCTGTACATGTCCCACAATGACGGAGCTACAGCCCGGTGCTGTGCGCAGTGTACGTACCGCTCGGTGAGAGAGGGCCGGCTGAAGACAAAGCAGCAGGGGATGATCTGCGGGAGGACCGCGGCGCAGAAGCCCTGCGCTGCTCCGAACAAAGCGGGCTTCCCGGCAGCTTCAGCATCCTCGCACATTACTTTCCAAGTTCATCAGCATTGTTTCACACGCACAACCGTGATTCAAACTCGCTGCTGAAATCCAACGATTCGACCTAAAGCTTCAGATGTGTCTAAAGGGCGATGAAGGCACGCACCGGCAATCACTCCGTCACCGGAGGACCTGAAACTGTGAATGGCTGCGTTCTGACTGAATCAGAGTGGTGCTGCGTTCAGGGGCTGCTTGTAAACTCCCACTTCTGAGTCCTTCATTTGCTAGTAATGCATTTCATTGACGTTGATCCGGAACAGGTCCTAAAGTAACCAATAGCGAGGTGGCTGCCATATCCCACAAGACCCCCAATTGAACATCTTATAAAATAATGTTTTGGAAGATGTGCATTATGTTGGAATCAAAATCTTACAAAACACCCCTCAAACCAGACTATTGGTATTCTCAACAAAATCATGTTAAACAAACCATGTCAAGTCATAACTGGATTTGATTTGGTAAGGGACATCTTATATTCCCCTGTTAACTTGCCACAACCCGCTGCTTAAAATGTGAAAGAACCCTTGAGTAGACCATTTCTCCCTCATGTTTACCACTTTTACCATCATGTTAAGCTTAAAGTGGACCTATCATGCTATATTTGAATAATATATTGTAGGGCCATCCCTATATAAAACATGACTGTGAAGTTTTTTTTTCAAAATACCAAACAGATCATGCAATTTTGGCCATGCCTCATTTCACTCTATTTGCTCTTTTCCAGCCCTGTTCTTGCAAGGGCTGATTCTGTGA